TCGCGCTGCTCGACGTTTCTCTGTGCATAATTTAAAACGCTTGGAATTGCAGATAGAGCAGCGCCGTCAGGTGGATGCTAAAGAGAAGTAAACATAGAACTAATAGCAAAACATGCAAAGATGCTGATCGCAAACACACACACACACACACACACACAGACACAACCACAGCTACCACACACATACACAGAGCATATCTGGCCAAAGTTTTAATGAAACAAAATGCGGCGCTTACGTGTGCTGGGTAAACGTATAACCTGTGTACAGGTGAGCGGGCTCAACACCTACCGTTTGCCCAGAGCATCGCCAATGTTCAGTTTGAAAGGTGTCGTCGCGTCCAACTTTACCGCAAAAACCAAAACAAAGTTTGCCAGAGCCCCACGTCAGAGCAGCCACAGGAAATGAGAAAAGATACCAATACAACGGAACGCCATGTTGCAATATGCATATGACTCACCTGTACGCCAAGTGGGCGGCACCGCCTCCCAAGGTGAGCGCGTGCGAGTTAAATGATGAAGCGAATTCGCTATTTTACAACTGGACAACGTGTCCTTTGCATGCTACATATACATATAGGAAATGAATCATTTTAGGAAACAACACTCACAGCGCGAGTTGTATGACAACTAAAAGTAGGTGGGAATATATTTGGGATCTATGTCACCGGAAACTGGAGTGGAATTGCTATTTTAATGATATTAGACTTCTTTTGCTGCTTTCTAATACAATACACTCAAGGTGTACGATCTTAATTCATCTAAGATGGAACTACTGCTAAAATGATTCTTTGGATATTCCAAACCAGCTTTAAATCTAGGCTGATTGAACTAAGACTCTACACGAGCGATCTTTATAAAATCTAAAGAGCCTGAGTATGATATCGAAAGAAAATATATGAAGAGCTCCAGCAAAAAATAGAATTGTAGGATTACTAAAATACTGAAACAATTTAATACGATAACAGCACACTTTATAAATTTGATGATTAACTAGACAAATTAAATTTTTTGCTCAAAAAAACTTATAATTTTCAATATTTATCGATATTATGACTACGGAATTGTGAATTGAAGCAAAACGTTATATTTTCATTTCCTTATTTAAGTAAGAAGATATATTTAAAATTTCAAGTCTCTAGCTTTAAAACCTTTTGAGAACGTTGCTTTCACAAGTCAGAGCATGACGAATAGGAATGTTATTTCTGCTTGAGAATACCGCGACTTATTTAAGACACCTTCTGAGTGCTATATACATTTGCATAACAACTTCAAGTCCCTTTTCAGAACCCCTCACAGAGCATAATAATTGCAAATTCAATTTCGACAAAACGTAAAGCTAGCGCCGCGGTTAAGCGCAAACAAGCATATCATCTGTTTGAGCAGCTGGTTTTCAGCAAAAGTTACAAAATATTTCACTCAAACGAAAAAATGGCTAGAAACGGAGGCTAAAAACCACACAGAGATACTGTGGAACTACACGAAATTGGAGCAGCGTGAACACTCGATATGAATGACATTCGCATTGAAATTTCTGCCGGCTGCTGCTGCTGCTGTGGCAAGGTGCGTGCTGCTAACAAAGCCCTTTGGCGAAAGGATGGCGCAGCGTTTTATGAACAAAAGCAAAGCGTTAATACCACATTCACACATCGGCACACACACACACACACATACAGAGAGAGAGAGCCATAGAGCCACAGAGCCACAGAGCCACAGCGCCACAGCGCCGCATTGCCTCGTCGTAGCTGTGTAGTGTTTGTGCTGGCAGCTCACCTGTCTGCCTACCTGAACACTTCAAAATATGCGAGTGTGAGTCCATGTGTGTGTGTGTATTTTAGATAAATTATTCAAGCAACAACTGCGCTTTTTAAAATCGAGTTTGTTGTGTGACGACGCAGACGACAGGCATTTGTGGTAAGCACTCGAGCACAAATCTAAAGTATACCACACACACTCACACAAACACACACACACACATGCATACAGAGCAGGTGTGCATTTGTTTTCGTTAACTGTCTGTGCTCTATGTGTGTGTGTGTGTGACCTAATTCCAGGCATGCAACAAAAAATAAAAGGGATAGACGTTGCAGCTCATTTTTCAGCGCTGAGCAGATACTCAGCGCAGAAGCGTGCAAAGCTAACAAAAAACCAAGAAAGTGCAACTGAACGACGTGGAAATACTCTTACTTGAAGGCAAACGAAGAGACGCCAGCAACATAATTCTAGCACAGTCAAACGAGAATTTGCGCCTGAAAATGTTCGTCTTTGTAGATTTCATCTCTCGAATATCATATCACTTATAGTTGCCAGAGTCAGCAAAGGTGAAGCAATGAAATTTAGATAAACGCTTAACAAATCCAAGTTTCAGCCACTCGGCAAAGCTGCCTGAGTGAGCGACGCGGCAAACTGATTTACAGACGAACACACTTAGACTGATGAAAGTTGTTTCAACTTGAGTGTGTGCACTCCTGGAGAGTGTGGGTGCACTGCAGTTACAAGACATTATGCAGGGAAGACCATTCAAATGGCTGGCAAATGGGGTATGCTGCTGCTGATGGATGCGTATGTAACTGGCTGATTAAGGGCGAGCTCGGACTGATATTGACAATCCGATTTATATAGCCTCCACTGAAGACTAGAGTTGCCAGACCCTCTCTATGCATGCGCCAGTCGAGCATACCCAACTAGCGCAGTCTTATATGCTTAATATCTCAACTGAATCTGTTGCAAATTGAAAAACTTAACTTGTTTGGTCGGGTATGCCCGACTAGAGTACTCTTATTTTCACATACCTTGACTGCATCAACTCTACTCAGTCGGGCTTACCCGACTATAGCACTCACAGTCAAGCCCAGCTTTGACACATCTTATTTCCAGCTGTCATTCCCCCTACCTTAGCCGGGCATACCCGACCGAAGCACACTTAGTTACTCCGACACTCGCAGCCAGCTCGACTTGAATTGCTTAAATTTCGTATGCATTTCATGCATGCAATTTAAGGCCAGCTGCATGCCGCATGCGGCAAGCAGTGCAAGTGTCCAAGGCTCTGACACATTTCGTTTGAGACGAATAGTTCCAGCTGAGAGGCTGAAAGTTTTCTTCTGGCCGCTGTATTACGTCTGTACTGAACAAGTACTTCCCGCTCTCTGTGCTGACAAGAAAATGTTTATCTCTTTACCAATATTCATGTCCGCCTCAGTCATTACAGCTCCCACATTTTGGACTTTGAAAGAGATATTGATGTTGTGGCACCCGCGGTGACGTTGAGCACAGTTTGACAGCGACTTCAAAAGAAGTGAAGCCACGCTCCTTTGATTAAAACTTGGGGTAGCCTCGTCGTGTATCGAGTAACTTAACCAAATAAACTTCACTCTCAGCTCTGTCCGCTTCAGCTTTAAAGTTCCTGGCGAATTTAATGCGCACTTCATGCGAGTTTCCAAGTTATTTGCTTCGTGTTGCGGTCATAAACCGAGCAATGTGCAGTCACAGCACACTAGTCGAAGAAAGGTTAGCTTCAGCCAAGTGTCAGCGCCAGAGCCAGGACCAGAGTCGGTGCCAGTGCCAGTGCCGGTGCCGGAACAGCAACTAAGATGTTGGCCGTGTCTTGCAAAACATTTCCAATGTCCAGAGCATGTGTCTCTGGGCGTCGTAAAAATGCAAAAGTGCAGTCAGTGCGTATACGCGATCTTTTTTGGGGGAGTGAGAGAGATGGAGAGAGAGGGCAAGAGGCATCAGGGGAGCACTGCAAGACAAATTTGCTGATGTAGCCAGTTTGATGCCCTGTAGCCATTAACAAAGGGGCATTATGATTTGGCAGACCTGTTTCAATATGGTATATCAATTTCTTATAAGGAAAAGAAACTGAACTAATATAGGTAACATTTTACAACTATACTATGAGTTAGAATATCTGTGTCCCTCTTGAGAATATGAAAGCTCATTTGATTGTGTTTGGTTCAATAAAGTATGAAAATTCTTGATTGTGAAAATATCCCGAAGAAGTGGGAGTCGTTTATCAGATATCAACATTCATTCCCTCTAAGATATAGCAATTCAATTGAAAGAGTAGAGCCTTCACTCTTTACTACATTGACACATTGGGATGATATATTAAATATCTGAAAATATCATTAAGATCGCACAGCTAGAGCCCGAGTTCAATGGGACTAGTAGTCAATGGGAACCTTTTCTAAGGAGAGATATATGGACAACACAAGCAGCTGTCGCATTTTACTATTTATACATGTGTCTGTCATGCAAGGGCATTTCACACAATATGCCGGGTATTGGCTAGTCGTTCACTCTCAGCTAGCACACTCCCGAGTTGTTTTTTTTTTTTTTTTTTGCCAGTACCTGCCTGCTTAATGCCAACAGTCTTACTTGCTCCTCGGGGCGCTTTTTTGATGGCAAACTTTTATTTTCCTTTTCCTCCACGAATCCTGTTGTTGTTGCAGCTATTGTAATCAAATTTGTCACGCTGCGTTGGTGTTTGAGCTAAGAACTTGAGCAACTACTGAAAGTTCGCTTAGGGTCTTGGGGGCAGACTTTAGTTGGCTCGTCGCGCACATTTGTCGCCAATGCGAAAAGGCGAACATGTCTTGGCCAGCTAGCTAACTGGCTAACTGGCTAACTGGCTAACTGGCTGGCTGGCTGGCTGTCTGACTGTCTCGATGTCTGGCCTAAGTCAAACGAGCTTAAGACGTCGCTGAAAGTGGCTTAAGGCATTTTCGCCACACCAAACGATGCCCCAAGGAAACCAAATGGCGCAATATGCTGGCGCAGCAGAGTGCGGCGCCGATTAGCGTTGAGCATATCAGGTGGCATCGATACGCGCCTGGGCCGATGCTTACGAGCAGCCGGGGAGCTATGAGCCGGGAGTACGGCAATATATTTTTATGCTAATTGAAAGACATTTCAATGGAATATAAATTTATAACCGATAGCAGCCACCACCTATACTTTTATCTATATATAATGTCTTTCTGCTTCTTCTTCTACTTTCAGGTAACAACGGCGCCCAGCCCCTTGCGGCCTCCTCCACCTCGTTGACTGCGGCGCAGCCACGCTTCCTCTCGCGCGGCCACACCTACCGCGCTGTCGTGGGCGACACTCTGGTGCTGCCCTGCCAGGTCGAGAATCTGGGTAAGAATAGCACGCATATCGAGAACTCGCATAGAAATTCGCATAATTAATAGATCATTATTATTGGCATTAAATATCGCAAATTCCAATCGCATTTCGTTCGATTACCGTAAGCCGCAAAGCCAAATAACAAATATGCAAATATGTTGCTAGCCAAAATGTCGCTCTGCATAAATTTTACAAAAACATCCATAAACAATGGCTACCAGAGAGAGAGAGAGAGTGAGAGAGATGGGGAGAGAGCGGAGGAGAGGGAGAGAGAGCAACATCAACTGAGCAACAATGCAAAACCAACAGCTGTCAACAGCTTGTCGCTCGTCGTTTCCCTGCACAGGCCAACGAGCAGCATATTTATCAAATGACAGCTATAAATTTATAAACACAAATCCAATTCGATAATTAAAGTCGTTCGTGGGCAAGAGGCAGCTCGCAATAGGCGTGGCCAAATTTAAACTCTGCTTTAACATTAAATGGAATCCAAAATTTAGGAACTGCCAAACAGAATTACAAAAATTAATATTATAAATTATAATATTTACAAGTATTATTAGATAAAGGCATACAGATATTCGACTTTAACTTGGGTCTGGTTAAATGTCCAAAATATATAAAAATATTTAAAAAATAAATAAACTTCAATTACAAAAGGAAACAATTATATCAGCAAAAGGGTTTTCAGTCATAGAAAAGAGATAAATCCATATTGATTTTTTGTCAAGATAAAAAGAAAATAACTCGAAATTCGTAAAACTTGCATTGCTAATTGCACTTTCAGGGAATTATATATATATTTTTGGCAAATTTAGTCCTTCAAAGCTCTGCTGCCCTTTAAGCCGAGCTTTAAAGTTTCTATCTTTGTAATGCTCAAACGACTTTTTTTCATATTTTCAACCAACCAAAAATCAATTAAAAATGTTTCATTCGTTTTTAGGAATTATAGGGAGACAATCTCTGATGAAGTTGGTTTTTGAATTGGGTTGGACGTTTCAATTTATGGGCCCTGTTCGTTAGCCAGCTGACTTTAAAATCTGGCTATTGATTGCCGAAAATAAATCGTGCAAATGACGCCAAAGTCGACTTCGAGAAGTGCATTCAAAGTGTTCCTTCTGTGCCTTGCCATATCACATTCTCATATAGGACTCTCTCATATGACAGCTTTCCTGTCTAAGCTTCATTAGGCTCAACGAGCTCAAGCTAGCTTATATCAAGCTGATGCCAGCAGCAGAAGCTCAGCATTAGATTTTGGCCATGTCCATTCGATTTGAGCATTGCAGTTAATGCTTGGCTGCGTATTGGCTATGAGTTGCTGAGCTTTAAGGTTGCTCAAGTAAATCGTGTTTTCGTTTTCCATTACGATTCAATGTGGAAAATACTTTCAGGGTTGTCCTTGACGTTAGGAACTTGACTCCATTGGCAACTCAATTTCCTTGGCTTGCTATAGATGGCCTCGAGAAGCTCTGAAAGTGCCCACTGCGTCCTATCGAAGGTCAGATCAAAGTTCCGCTTGTAAAAGTTTGGCTTTGCAGTTTGGTTCAATAATGAATTCAATTCAACGTACTCAGGCTATTTATTTACACCATATATATATATATAGGGCATAGTAGTAGTAGTCATAAATACATAGTATAATATAAATTCACTGGTACATACGAAATTTACAATTGAAACAATGAAACTTGAATCGCATTTCCCAATTGATTCAATGTGATTCACAGAGTAATTAAACAGTTTTTCAACTTTTGTACACGAACTTAAGGATCCCACTTCGCTGTTAAACAAACAAATTTGCCAATACTTCAAAAGCAATTTTTATAAATTCACAGAGCGGCCGCTTAAACACCTGTGAAGGTAAAAGCATTTTAAGCATTTATAAATAAATAAAAAATGCACAGAAATCATTTATCATAGGGCGGCTCGCACACACACACGCACACGTATACATACACACTGGAAAATGACCTAGTTTAAAGGCAGAAATTGTTGCAAAGAGTTTTAATTGCAGCTGCCGTTGACAAGCCAATAAATAAAATGCAATTAACCAACCGCTCGGTCGCTCGCTCGGTCGGTCGCTCGCTCGCTCGCTCAGTCGTTCGTTCGTTCGTTGCGTTCAGCGAAATGAAAATAAATTGAACATTGACGGCATCGACGACAATGCGACCGAAATCTGTTCAGGCTGTCAGTTATCATTGGGCCATATGGAAGCCGGCATCAGCAGCAGCAACAACAGCAGCAGCAGCAGCAGCAGTAGCAGGAGATAAAAGCTACGCATTCTATCAACAGCTGAAATATTGTCGTTCCACGCATATTTGTTTAAGCAAACTTATTCACATACTTTAAATAATATTGTTGGACTTGTTGAAAGATGCGAATTTAATCAGCTTTCATATTAATGTTATTACATTACAATGATACGATGGGATATGCCTGACTAGATGCGACGTCGGCTTAATGCTGCTGTTGAGCTTGTTCTGTACACATATACGTGTATCTATGGGCTGGTATGTGTGTGTGTGCATACATACACTTGCAGTCCTTTATTATTATAGATTGATTGAGGTACGATTCTAGCATTTAATTTTTACTCAATTCCACGACTTGACAATTTAAGATTCATTTAAAGGAGAGTATTTCTTAAATAAATGATTGGCATAGTCTGTATATATAGTATAGAGCCCCACATACCAAATTTGTTGCGCCCAGCTGCAAAAGTGCCCAAGCAATGCTTAAAAATAAAATATCGATTTTTATCGATATTATGATATAAGAATGAGATATCGGAAAAAGGGAATGTTCTTCGTTTAGCTTATACAAATATACGTATCAAATATGAAGTCTATAGCTCTTACAGATCTCGAGATTTAACCATATATATATATATCCACAGGAGAAGATAGACGGACGAATGCTTAACCGATAGACAGAAAGATAGATAGATAACAATATATGTAAATAATAAGTTTTTACTTCAATTCCTTCAATACTCACAGTCATATAAAACGAATATACCCCTCTGAATTACTAGACAGATTCATAATAAGCAGCCTCAAGACTGTTGAGTGTTGACTTCTCATCTTCAATGGGTGTTAATATAAGCAAGTCTCGTGAGATATGTTTGTGTTTACTCAACAAACTAATAGGAAAACAAACATCGATGTGTAGGAGGCAAACATTATTTCAACTCGGACTGTTGTCGTTGCTTTACTGCATTTAATCCCCAATTAGTCTTTAATGCAAGCGAATGCGACGGGACGGTTTAATTGCGCTATTAAATTACCTGCCAACTGCGGTAAATAACGGGAGGGAGAAGGCGAAAAAACATGGATTAATTGACACAATTGAGAATGAAAGACAAGGCGGCCCAGGGCGAAATAGTATTTAATCCAATAAAAGAAATTAAGTATCAAATGGTCGGCGAAGCCCTGCGTCATGCAAATGCTAAAAGAATAAAGAAAACACAACAGGGAAAGAGCGTGACTGAATAGCTGGGGCAACTGGGGGACTGCCTCAACAAAGTTGTGTAGGAAATGCAATTAAACAATTTAAGAGGTGAAGCTGAACAAAGAGACTAACTGAGAAATACCCTATATATAGAACAGCCACTCGATGTGCACTTCCGGGTATCGTTCACGTACTTCTCTTAGTGCTAACTTCTCAGCGCTAAGCTCAACTGTTACAAACACTTGCAAGCAGCTTCAGCTTCAAGTCTTCCAATTTGCCAACAACTTTGGCACAAATTCATGTTTTACAAATAAAAAAGTTATAAAATATAAATAAAACTCCATTTTTATTGGCCAAAATGTGTGCTGAGCTCAATAATATGAATACACTTCGGCAGGGGATGGACACAGCTGACGACGAGCTGAGTGAAACAAACCTTTTGCCCCGCCCTTCCGACCTTCCGCCCACCACAGGACTCCACTGCAGAACAATTACGAGCGAGCAATACGAAATTTCAATCCGATTCAATAATAATCAAAGTCATAAAAAGATGATTGTGTGCGTTTAAGTCGATTTTATAGGCGCCCTTTAGGTAGGGCAGGGCTCCAATAAAGGCTTATAAGAGACAGTTTATTTTTGTATTTCTCCCTTCTCTGAAGGTCCCTTATCCCAGCGCTCACGTAATATTTATGAGCTGTCCCAAGCATTCGTGTATGTTTGTTTGTATTTTTAACAGGTTTATGCCAAGCTGCCCCACAAATGTTGTGGCCAATTCGAGTTGTTGTTGGCCCTTAGAATGCCTAATGCAGTTAGCATTACAATTTGCCGTTGACAACTTTGACTCTAAATGTATTTTCATCAAATTTCCCAGTCAATTACTATTTTATTCATAAATAATCGGATTACAGCAACAATTTGCAATGTAGCTTACAAAAAAAAAAAAAAAAAAAAAGGAAATTTTATCCTGCTGATAAATTTTCGTAATTTTTTACATTTTACATTTTCAATTTGATATTACATTTTACTAAGATAAAAGTTACTGGACTCTGTTTTTCAAAAGTCAGACCAAAATCTTAAGCTGTGGTACGGTTGAGGTATATGCCACTCGAGAACTCCCACTGACTTAAACATTCTCTATAGATTTTGCTCTGCTTTATCATTCTATTGAATGTATTGAATGAATCAAAACTTAAAGACAGTCTTACATATGTATCTCTATATAGTATAACTGCTAGCAAATGAAAATATGTTTTAAAGCTGAAACCGAATTATGGTGCTCGAATTGCTCAATGCCTTGGAACGGTTTGTTAATGTAGATGGCCAAGTGGAGCGACTCAGACAATAATAAATAAATAAATTATGCGCTGGGCAAACGCGTCTAACAAATTTATGCTTTGCCAGCCATAAAGAAACGTAAGTTAGATAAAATATGCAAAAAGAAATGGGAAAGAAAAACGAAAGCACAAAAAATCTGTTGGCAACATCTGTGAAATTATGTCATTTATATGAGCAAACACACTAAAAAATAGATGAAAACACCAGAAGACAGAGCAGACAACAGACAAGAGACGACGGACAACGGACAAGGGACAAGAGACAGCATCCAATTGGATAGCCAAACAAGAGACTGTACACAGCTTAGCAGACAGACCCAAGAGCGGATAGCATATTAGATAGATGGCTTTATATTATATCTATATATAAGGCTATCTCTTTCTACCTCTCTCTCTTTCTATCTCTCTCTCTCTCTATCTATCTTGCATTATGTTTGTCTATGTGGCTAGTTTACAAACAGAACTACAATTTGAACTCTGCTGCCCACTTGAATGCCATTTATTTAGCTTTTTTGAAAGTGCGAGGGCTGTTTCAAAAGTATTCTTCCCGAAACAGTCCCCAATTGATTGTAACTTGTAACTTAAACTTAAGCAGCTTACTGAAGCTCTAAGATCTTGAAACTGTTTTACTATGTGTTAAATGACCAACTAAAGTGAGCCCTCCTCGGCAATTTAAGAGAATCTATATAGTTAGGAGCTGGCTATGCGATTCTGTAGAATGACATTTGAATCTGCTCATTGTAAGATACGGACCTACATTCTAAGAGAATTCTCTATTTGAAATTTTACAGAGATTCTTAGAAGAGTCGCATGCTTAAAAACTCTGCCACAGTCGGTCGAAGACATTATAATATACTCTACTCAGATCATGAAAGAGTATCATAAGAAGCTTATGGAAAATGATTTTTAAGCTGCTCTCAAACATAAATCTATGCTGGGATAACATCATCTAATTTAATAATAAAGAAACGTTATTTAGTTTCCATAACCTCTTCTGCCTTTTCTGTTACGCCTCATTCTAATCATGCAACCCTCGTCGTATAACTGTCTCTTAATATTTGTATTGCGGTATTTAACAATAAATTTTCCAACCAACAACAACAATAACATGAAGAAGTAGAGCATACGCTGACATTTTTGTTAACGCCTTTTCATATATTTTCTGTGTGTTTCTCTCCCTCTCTCCCACTCTTTCTCTCTCTTTACATTGCTGTCTACTCGATGCTCCTTTGCAGGCAATTTCGTGTTGTTGTGGCGCCGCGGCACAAATGTGCTCACCGCCTCGAACATTATGGTGACACGGGATGAGCGCGTGAGACTGATAGATGGCTATAATCTAGAGATATCCGATTTGGAGCCACAAGACGCTGGCGACTACGTCTGCCAAATCAGTGACAAAATCAATCGGGATCAAGTGCACACGGTCGAAATTTTGGGTGAGTTTACAGTTACAAACAAACTAACGCAACTAACTCAACTTGAAATTGAGATTCATAAAAATGTGTTAAATAAATTCCGCTGCTCTTTAAACAGTGCCTCCCAGCGTGCGCGCCATACCCACATCTGGCCAATTGCAGGCGCGCAAGGGCGGCCCCATTACGCTGGAGTGCAAGGGCTCGGGCAATCCGGTGCCATCCATTTACTGGACCAAGAAGGTTAGTATTTGCTCTTTACTTGAATAACCCAAGAGTTGCCAGTCCCCAAATATACATTCCCCATTTCACCATTCTATACACATATGAACGATTTCTAGTTTTAGCCCACTTAGAGACAGATGAACAAGGAATGGAATATGCAAATATCAAAATATGACAAATAGTCATCAAGTTGTTTCTGACTTCCTTTTGAGGCAGCATAAACAATATAGATGTAGTTTCTTGACTAGAATCAGAAACATATTAATATTCCACATCATTTCAAACGACCCCTCGCCTCACTTGAGAAACCAATTCCAATATTTGCAATGTTAGTTCAACAGTGACACCTCACACGTTGTCCTTGAGCTCTGCCAAAGTGTTAAGCCAAGAACTCGATGTAACCATAGAGAAAGCAAGTAAGAGTGCTCCTATGGGGAATGCCCAGCTAAGGAATACCCTGACCACTATGCAGAGCTTGTATTTATCAGACAATTTATGAGACAGTTCCTAACTAGTGGCACTTATATTAGTTGATTGGACTCAAGGCAGATTTATGAGTTAATAAAGGGTATTTATCAGCTCATAAGCTCGCCTTGAATGCCATTCGAAGTCAACTTTGGCCCAAGTTTAAGGCCCTCGACTGCAGCTAAACAGAAATGCAGTCAGAAGAACAACAACAATTGAAATAGAGATTTGGCAACTTTTCAATGAAACAAGTGACAAAATGTGCTCATAGAGAGCAAGAGAGGAAGAGAGAGAGAGAGAGAGAGGGAATATAGAGGAAATATTTGTATGTGTAGGAAGTTGACTGACTATCAACCTTCTGCCACCTGATTCGTAGGTTCCACCTTCTGCTTGGCAATGCAGAGACAACGTTTGGCTTGCTGCACTTTTCGACATTTCCGTTCGATTTGTTTGCTTGCATGCTTTGCTCTTGACATGGCCAAAGCTCAATCACTCGATCCAGTGGCGGGTGTGTGGGAGTGCGGCAGTGTGCGTGTGTGCGTGTGTGCACTCCAAGCAGAAAGAAGCAGACGAAGAAGTTGTATGTCATTTAATTTCGCTTCAATCTAGTGCCATTTCCGGCAGCCCTAACACGACCCACAGCATGTAAGTTCGATTTTCTATTTGCTTTTCGAGCTGATATCGACACGTGTTCCCCGTTGGCCCACGACGACACAGCTGTCTCAGCCAAGAGGCAGACTTGGCTACATCTACATGGCCTCTTGTGACACTCTCCCTCGCCCACCTCCTCTCTCCATTCCTCCAACTCTTTCGGCTTGTACTCGATTTGGTTGCTTACAGTTAGCTGTAGGAACAACGGGTTAACTCCTCTGTTACACATCTTGAAGTCGTTTTCATTCCCCCTATTCTTTTCGCTCTCTGTTGACAACTGTAGTTGACTTTTTGACATCTCGTACTCTCGCCCTCAATGACTTTACATTTAGTGCCATGCAATTCACTTCTTCTTCTTCTACTTCTTTCCTTCCTATAGAGCGGCACGGGTAAATCGCCAGCCCGAATCGGCGATGGACCTATCCTCACCTTGGACAAATTGGAGCGCCAGCAGGCGGGCGTCTATCAATGCACCGCCGACAATGGAGTCGGGGACCCGGTGACAGTCGATATGCGCCTGGATGTTTTATGTAAGTCTAGCACTTACATATACTCGTATGTGTGGATCTATAAATATGCATATATACACATATTTATCTTTTTATTTTTTGTTTTACCTTTCAAAATTCGACTATGAAATTTACTATTTATTTGTATACAAATTATGTGCAACCAAAATTCTGCTTTGCCATTTTAGTTTAGTGAGAATTTTTACGGCAGCTATATAAAAAATTTTTATATGTACATATATATTTAGTAAATTTAGTTTTCACATTGCAATGCGAATTTAACATTGCCATTTCAGATGAGTGGGAATTTTCAAAGAATTTTTAATGCACTTTGCCAATTTAATATAAAAGCAAATGGATTGGATATTAACAACAACTATCTTCATTTTATACTTTTGAATTTTTACTAAATGTTTATTCATAGCTGCTATATGATCCAATTATCCAAGCTAAAAGTAAGCAGAAGAACTAATGTTTTCTCAGATGACTGTGAAAATTTTAAGAAAATTTGTATTTACAATTTAGGACTTTACTAAGTTAGGACCTGATTCAAGGTTCCCTGATTTGAAATCTCGGATAATATACTTTCCAAATCATCTGAATTTTTGCTGTTAACAGCCACTCTTTGCATCATTATTGAAATCTGAACTCATTGATTAAAAAGGCCAATCATTAATATATTTATTTAAATATCAAGTTAATTTATTATAAATATTTTATTTATATTTTTTTAAGCAGATCCAAACGCAATTATTGATTATAAATTTATTATTATTATTAACACTTTTGTTACTTCTTTTATAAATATTTTCTAATGTGAATATATTTTGATTAGAATTTCTTTTTTATATGAAAATTTCTGCATATTTAATAGGCAGTGAAAATATTTAGAGTGAGCAAATGCAGTGAAATATTCATTTATTTTTTTTAATGAATGGCAAAGGCTTCACATTTCAGTTCCCAATTAAAAGCAAAATATTAATACTTGCTATTCTCTTTTATAAAAATATAATAAGTGAAAGTAAACATATTGAATATTCAAAATTAATTAAAAGTTATCCACTCTAAATCTGTTTGCAGACCCACCCGATATTCAGGTGGAGAAATCCTGGATTCATTCCGGCGAAGGATTCGAGGCGAAGCTCGTTTGCATTGTTTACGCGGATCCAGTGGCCACGGTGCGTTGAGCTCTTGATAATGTCTTAGTGTTCTACTACTACTTATAATGCAGCCCATAATCACGTTCATCAATCATAATTACCCTGTTTGCTTTCCTGGCTTATCGTTACAGGTGTCCTGGTATCAGAACTCATTTCCCATACAGACAACCGATCGACGCATCATGAATACAAGAGCCAATCGACACACGCTGACCATAAGGCACATTCAGCAGGAGGACTTTGGCAACTACAGGTGAGAGCTGGGCAACTTTAACAAAACAGAACTTGAAGGACAGCTAACACAGACAGACACACACACACACTCACACACACATCAGATACATATAGCTGCTCAGCCACCTGCCATGCTCGAGCGTCTCTCGGCCATTTGCTGAAACAAACAAGTTTGTGGCCCATCAATGTCAGTCTGGCTGAAACTTTGGCCACGTTGACAAAACATTTCACATATAGCCGAGAAAGTTTCTGTTTTTGCCAATAGTCCACTCAGGGCAGACTTTAGTTGACTCCATAGCACCCATCCGTCGTCAAGTATCTCTGCTGGCTGACAGTTACGGCCAGTTTGAACTTCCCTTCGAGTTGCTTAAGCGCAGCAATAGACTCGTTTTACATGTTATTAATAGAGAATTAATAGAGAAACAATTTCTGAACTCAACTCTCCTCATCTCATCTAAACAGCTGTGTGGCTGACAATTCTTTGGGACGCTCACGCAAATATATGGAGCTCTCGGGACGGCCAGGCCCGGCCGAGTTCTATTCGCCCAAGTGGGGTCGCTCGTCGGACAGCTACAATTTGACATGGAAAATCGACAGTTATCCGCCTCTGGAGGAGGTGCGCCTGCTCTATCGGCGTGTGCTGGTAAGTGAAAATGGACAAATATCAAGTTTGCTTTAGGCTAACCTCACTTTGATTTCCCGCTCCTGACTCGCAGATGAACGACACGTTCCAGCAGCCAGGCAGATGGCATGACTTTATACTAACACCCGAACATCGTCCAGCCTCAGAGCCACTAACCCACATCATGTCGTACACCATCAAGCATTTGCATCCAGGCGCCTACTATGAAGCGATTGTTCAGGCCAAGAACCGATATGGCTGGAATGAGGTAAGTCGGACTATCATATAAAAACTTTAGTTCGTATATATATAGGATATATCTATACTCTTTTTTATCTCTCCCACTATATATCTATATATTCATACATTTGCTTTCCTTGTTACTTTACTTTCACCTATCCTAGGTCAGCGATATATTCCAATTTATTGTCGCCAGCAATAGCATGGACATTGCGCCCGAGGATGCGGAAGTTGTGGCCAGCTCGAAGTCGAGAAGCAACAGTGGGGCTCTGAGCAGTCTACAAAATGCTCTGCCCCACTGCCTGCTGCAGCTTGGCGCTCTGCTGCTCGTCTTCGGCCTGCGGAATAGCCAGTTCGATAGACTGCGACTGGGCTTGGGGTAAGCATGGACATTCCACTGACTCTGCATTGGCTAAGGCTTGCATACATATTAAAGTTAAATTATATTTATTTGCTACTACTACGAACGCGTAGTATATGATGGGCAACACTGCACAGGCCAACAGAATTTTTAGTAAACAAGAATCCGACTTCACTTGGCGTTCCCCTTCGATGAATATGATAGGCCCATTAGATGTTAAACTGTCCTTCTTTACCCATTCCAAGAGCTTAAGTATACAGATCGGATTCTGAGTCAAACCACTTGGTTTGTAAGATATCTTTTTGAGATATTACCAAATTTCCGACTATCTAAGAGAATCTAAAATTTAAATTTCTCTAAAACTACTGTCAATCCAACTCCGAGAGGAAAACCTTTTTAAAGCCAATTAATATAATAGAATCCAGAAAACACTTTTCGTAACAGAATCTGAACTTTTGAACTAGTATATACACATATTGGATCTCTTCAGCTTTCAAATATGATCGATTCTTGTTACCTAAAATTTTGTTGGCCTGTGTAAGACGCTTTGCAGTCGCTAAAATAGTTTCTCAGCTTAGATAAAGCACTTTTAATTAAATTTTGTCAATGAATAAATAATTAGTTTTGGTTGGTTTTTTTTTATTTCGCATGGAAAACAAACCAAAGAGTATGAGTTTTTGTGAAAATATATGTAAAAATTATGCAAAACAAAAAGAAGAAGAGACACAAAACAACATACAATGTAAATAATTTATCAAGCATTTTGTCAGCGATTTAATTAGCAAAACAAAAAGAAAAAAAAAAGAAAATGAAAACGCAAACCAAAACCAACGAGAAATATAAAATCGGAAACATAAAATGCGAAATGCAATATACGAATATAGAATACATATATATTACGTATATATGTGTGTGTTTATATGTGTAAGAGCAGTAAATCCATAGTTGGATAATCCAGTCGAAGTAGGTCATGTAAATATGCATTAGATATTTGAATGTGAATTACATTTTATGTATTTCATTAAAGCAAACAGAATTAAAAACCAGAAAACAGAAAAACTACACTGCGTAAATAATATATATGTAAATTAAGCCAGCATTTCATAGTGATATTATTTAGTTTAAAAAATAAAATCATGAATACCAAATTGAAACACCATTGTAAAACGTTAGCCGTAAGATATTTTTTTAAATAACCAAATACATTTCTGTTTATATATTGTTCTTCTCTTTGGTTTTCTTTTATTTCGCTCAACTTAGTTTTAAGCGCATTCAATGATCACTAATTTATTAATAGCGTCGAGTTTTTCAATGGACATTTTCTAGTGTTTAAGGAACCATGTTGTACCACCAAAATATCAAGATTACCATAAATAAACCCAAAAATATGAAATAATACAAAATGAAGCATTTTACAAAATTACAATTACTGTGTGTAGAGTAAAGCCATTAAGGGCGCTGTATTTGTGCAGCTTTATCACCTATTGATATACGATATTCGTTTTACGATATTCGTTGTACGATATTCGGCATACGATATCCGCTATTCGACATTCGTCATACAATATTCATCACACAATATTTGTTATACGATATTCGATGTACGATATTCGTTTCTACTTGTATATTATCCATTCGTCATAAAGCCACTAAGCAAATAGGCCAAGCTAACATGTAAGCACATCCAATTGCGATCTCTGTGTAGTTGTACTTGAAGTAAAGACAGTACGGAATAAAGCACATCATCTCAATAAGCTCCGGGGCAGTAGAAAAACGGCAAACACAGCTTTCTTACAGATATACGATTTACGATCAACATTAACTTCAAATTATGTATTTAGCTGCTTCAATACCGTTTACAAGAAACCAACATGATTAATTAAAATTTTCAAAACATTTATAGACAACTGCAAAATGTTTACATATATTACTCATTATTATTTTTTCCAATAGAACTAAAACCATTTAAAAATCCACTCAGATTAATTAAGTCACATTTCGAGATGGCTTTCTGGCGCCATCTATGAGTCAAGCCCTGGGCTAGTTGAGTAATGTGTTTCATACATATATTAAATAGATATATGTGTTCAAAAACCAACTTGAAATCATGGCTAGGCATATATATATATTAGCTTTAAGGCATTCGAGGATCGATGGCTCGACAACTTTCAGAAAAGTAACATAATATTAACACTAGACTGTACTTACTGCATATATGAATAAATAATTAACCACGAAGCAAAACGCATATGAAAAGTGCATCAAATCGAGTTTTCTCAGTGCTATTGGTGGCTATGATAGCGAAACAGAAACAAAACCAGAACACGTATCTATAAAATTCACTAATTATTAACTAGAACTATGCTAAATTAATTGTGCATAAGAAACATTATAAGAAGGAATCTTTAAATTATTCAAATACAAAATAAAGCATTAGATGTAAAATAAATACAAATTTCACAAATTGTTTTATTTTGGCCACGCGCAAAGGTAAAGGTAAGAGGTATGGAGCATTCTATAAATAAAAAGTGTTCTCTTTACAGCAGATATTTATAGATTGTTTTTGATACCAAAAATTTCATACTTACGATATTCGCTTATACTAACTTTTATAATTTTTTTCATCATTTACGATATTTCTCATGCTATATTCACTCTGCGATATTCGATATATGAAAGTCTTCAATTGATGCTTGCACGATATTCAATTTATGTTGCTCGATGTACGATATTCGCTCTAGTTTGCTTATCACTCACGCGTTATTAAGGCATTCAACCAAATGGGTTAAGCTAACACGTAAGTAAAAACCATGATGACTTTCATATATTTGTACTTGAATATGCGTGTACATAAAAGTTATAAGCCGTATAAAAATACTAAGAATACTTTATCTATCTCACTCTACCTGGCTCGATTCCCTGCCCACTTGCACTCGACGAATGCAAAACAGTTCGAGAGCTCAATTCATATTTACGGTCATGCTATATATTGTCACTTAAAGCCCATTAACAAGTCTCATTGAAGTTTTCTGATAATTGAGAGTGATATTTTAAGTATTGGCTTTTAGCTACTCTGCTACCATATATACATGTATGTATATGTATCTATATATATACATGGGCTGCCTCGAGCAGTTGCTAAGCTTCTCCACACAGTGGACATCGCATACGTGCTGGGCTTAAATTATAGAAACTTTAGCATTTTGCTAAAGTTTATGCATGAAATTTTATAGAGCGCAAAACTACTTGAGCTTCGTTTTTAGAGAAATGCATTAAAAGCGCAAAAGGCGAAGCTAAAAGGATGGCAAAACGAAGGCGAAGGTGCACTGGAGCAACCAGGAAATTTCCGCCCCTCCCCCACTCCCGCCCTCTCCCACTCACTCTTCCTGTGTATGTGTGCCTTGACGTTGCCTATTTGCATATTTGAGCACTGGCATGCCACTGCCTATGTAGGTATGTAGGTACGTATGGGTGTATGGGTGTATGGGTGTGTGGGCGTGGCACACTTGACACAAGTTTTGTGCACATTTCAAACTTTAGTGACCATTATGCATGCAAGTCTCAATATATTTCACATGAATTTTAATGCAATTCTTGCGTATGCAGCTGCCGAACCCAGCCGAAGCTCAGAGTCAAAATGTCGTTGACCGACCCAAAGCGACTCGAGCTGGAATTCCTTTGTGTTGGCCACAGCAATTGCTTCTTCGGCTTCTTTCTTGCGTATCACAATGCATAATTGGGGCGCCACCAGCGATAATTTGCAGTCAGTGCGAAAGTTTTTTAGCGCATATTAATTAGCTCGTTTATCATTTGAACACTTTTCTGACAGCCAGCGCGTTGAATTTCAAAGCAATGTAAAATTAATTAAGTTACGCCACAAGCAAAACTCTCTCAGGACATTCACATTCACATTCATATTCAGACTCTGATTCAGACTCTGATTCAGACTCTGATTCACATTAATGGCAAGTGCATCAAGAAGCAAACTTTCAACACTCAATTGTTAAGTACCCCCGGACTCCACTCTACTCGGAAATGAAATCATAATTAATATTGGTAAAATTGGCAAGGCGAGGCGAGGCGAGGCGGGGCAGGGCAGGGCAGGACAGGCCAAGGGCAGCAGCGTCAGAGTCAGCATCTGCAATTCGCTGCGTTATAAAAGTGGCAACAATTTCAAATGGTTTCAGCATTGCATTGTTTCTTTGGCTCTGACAGATGGACTGATGGATACACTGACTGCCGGCGAGGCGACAAGGCGAGCTGCGATTCAAACTTTTATAATTAAAAATTTTGCATCTTGGTTATTTCATTCAGTGCCTGAATGGTGATTTCGAAAGTGAGTGAACGACTATCAGATACCCGGCAGTCTGCTTGGAGCTATTTCCTTCATTACCAACATCACATCACACACACACACACACACACACACACATATTTCATACAGCTAACTGCACTTTTTATACAGCCCAGAGGCTCTTCCTTTTACAACTTGAGGATCTAGAGTTGGATATATGCATATCACATTTAGCATTTCTAGCTAAAATGGTCTTCTGAAACCATGTCACAGTAATGATATTTATCGATTATAAAGAAAGCAGATAACAAAAAAAAAAAAAAATTCAGCAACTGCACATGATAAGCAAGAATATATTTATTGAATTTCGAGTCGCTAGCTTACATAGTTTTTGAGATCGACGCCAGAATATGACACAAATGAAGTTATATTATCGTTTCTTTTCAACTCCATTTGAATCACACTAATATACCCCATTTGCATAATTTCCAGCGCATTTACGAAATAAAAAGGGAGATGAGGGCGAATCATAAGGCTACATGGAAGCAAAACTTTTTTAAACGAAACTGCGAATTAAATTAATTTTCGACTGATTTAAGCAGATGGAAAATTTTCTGCTATCAAATGTAGTGCATGAGCAAGTGAGATGGGACTGAAAGAGAAAACGAGGAAATGCGAAAATGCGAGAATGGGGAAATGAGAGGAGCGCGTTGGCTAAGTATCGAAGTTGGAACACGTGACACATAGAAGAGCAGCAAACAAAGTTAACTAGCCCGATGTCTACGCCTAGCCATAATTCAGCAAAAATTTACAAGTTTCGTTGGCCCGGCCAGCTCTAAACTAA